TGTTAAGTCGTTCGAGAAACGCTCGACGCGGATCGCAGATCGACGATAGAACGGATAAATCTTAAATGTGATTGATCTGTCGAAAGGAAACAAGTAGAGAGGAGGAATGGAATAAATTTCAACAAATTTAATTCAATTATATATCTCTCGAGGATTTGCCACTGCAGCAATTTGTAGATTCTTAGGATTGAAGAATCTTATAATTTTGGAATTTAACGTTATGATAAATCTTAATAATAAATAATACTGATGAATATCAATTCAATCGACAAAATAATTATTTCGCGTAATGAGCAATAAATTCTTTTTCACGCGTTTAAAATTTCAATGATAACTACTCGAGTTCCTTAAATCGTTAATTGTGAACTGTTCCGTTCCTCCATCTTCTTCGTCTAACTAACGAATACCAATCCTACTTGACTACTTAATCATGAAAAAAGAAAAACCGTTGAGAGGATGGAAACAATAATAAATCTTAAAAAGGAAGAATAACTTTGTTAGGTCCCAAATAGCGCCGAAAATTTTAAGGATCAAGGCGGCAAACGTTACGTTTTTTCCATGTACATAAAAATCTTTAGGGACATCTCGATCTACATTTTAACTCGTTATCGTTTTTACAATGATGGTTTTATCGTAAAACCGCGACCGAGAGCGAATACGACAAAAGGGAAGTTACAATACGCGCGGGTTTCTCACTTCCTCGAGACGTTTGTTCACGAGAAAGTTCCTAGGTAGGTCCTTTAGGTCATAGACAAAGGCCGTACATAAACTCCGAGGACTGTAGACGTCTAGACATATAAATCTTCATAAATAAAATCTGAACATGCTAAATTGAATTACTGAGTTCGTGAATTCTTGGATCTGCGGACTCTTACATCCTTGGAAGTGTAGATTGTTGAAACTCTTAGATATTCGCGTCATTTAGGATTTATATAGATCCTCGAATCCTTAGATCCGAGAATTCAAGCCTTGCATTCTGTTGTCTCGAGATCTTCAATTATCTTTCCCTCGCAATTGGGCTCTCGATCAATCGATATATTAATCCCGCGAGAAGGAACATTAATTCGTTGAAAAATTGATTATTGTTAATTGATAATCGACACACGATCTCGAGGAACGTCGGGAGATCCGCGGACACCGACTTGGCTATTCAGAGACAACGACACAACGCATTATAAAGTAATAATGATAACTTAACGTTAATCGATTACTATTAACGGTCACTCACATCGCGAAAGGTGATGACGATGATGATCATTCTGTCCGCGACTTATTGCGTTTCCCTTAAAATATATTATTCTGAAGGGACAAACAAGAATAATAACAGACGTTTAAAATGTCTTGGTATATCGATAAATCTCTATTTACAAGCAACTTAAATAATTTCAAAGATAATTTAAATCGGTCATATATATTTGGGTGGCCGTTTCGATTGTTCGTAATTGAAAAATTATTTTTATTTCTTCGACAACAAATGTCGCTGCCTTCGGTTATCTGACAAAAGAATAAGAAGAAACGCGATAATTCGGGGACATCCGTAGCTAGAGAAGTTAGGCGTTAAGCGAGATACATCATTAAGGAAGTTAACAAACCAAATGTGGTTAAGTAGATAGATTTTAGCTTTATACACAAGAGAGTGCTGAGGGAATATTCATGGAAATGAGAGAGAGAGAGAAAGATTGAGAGTGAGAGAGAGAGAGGGTGAGAGAGAGCTTTGATCGATTGATGAATGAATTTTGAAAGAAAAACGCTAAAAAGACTCCGCATTTTTGACTGCCATTCGAGTTAGAAGTGATTCGTTGTACCAACATGTCCGAGCGAACTTGTGCGATGTTTGTTGGAATGAAATTTTTTTTTATCGTTATTGTTGCTGTCACCAGAATTATATATACAGAGTGAGCAAATCAATTGCATTTTCTTGGATCTTTTTGGTCAGTTTTGAGTTAATTGTCAAAAATTTGACGAAACGCTTTTCAATCTTGAAAATTTTTAATATTATATTATTTCATCAAACACAAATCTTACAAATTTTTTTAAAGTTTACTTAAAATAAAACTTTATGCAATTCCAAAATTTATTATTATAATTATAAAAAACGCTATATTTTTTATCACACTTTGACACTTTTGATAAAAGAAAAATCGTCTCAATATAAATAAAAAAATCTACGTAGATCGAAGGAAGTGCTCTTGATTTGAAACTCTGTATTATCAAATGTTATATCTTATACATTTAAATTTACTATTGTTACATTCAACTGTCGCATTTGTTAATGTTATTGCTTTCTCTAAAAGTTTTGTAATATTGTACGAACATTTGAATTTTGCAATTCAAGTATTTGAATATTGTGTAAACTGTTTTAGATTAAAACTTGTCTAACATTGATTGCTCTTATTATATCCTATCTGTATTAACCTACTGGAGTACTGAATCAATCAAATGGCTAGAACTGTGAACAATAAAAAAGTTGATTTAAAAAAAATCCTTTTTTATCAATAAATATATGTTGAATGTCTTTTCTTTTTAATATTCGAAATTAAATTTAGCTCTCAGAAAAATTACTTATAAAAAAAAAGAATAAAAATATGGTGATCCAATAGGTTACGATAGATAAACTTTTTCGACGGTTTAAGTAGAACCTTTCATCTTGTTCAGTGTCAATAATGTCATATTTGACGATAGCGTACGTTCGATATTGTTGCGGACCAGACTCTTCGTGATTTTGTTAAACCGAGAAGCAATACTATCGATGCCTACAATTACTATTATCGAGCGAGTGCTTAAATAAACGATTAACCTACAATCCCGGAACCCTAATACGAGATTACTAATCAGTTGCATCCGTTTCATGCTGTGAAACAATTAAGTATTTTGAACAGCTAATTTATTTATAATAAATATTTCACGTGTACAGTGTGCAAATGCAATGAGTATTCTTGAAACACAGTGATATTTTTTATTTTATTTGTTATTATAAAAAGTAATTAGGGTTCTAGGATTAACTGCGAAAAATCTGAAAACTTTCACGACAACTTTTCGCAGATTTGAAACATCCCCGCAAAATAAACCTGAATGCGCCATAACGAAAAAAAAATCCACAGGACGAGATGAAGACAGGTATAAAAAATTAAGCTTGGGTTAACTTCATCTAATCTAATCTGAGATAATCTGAAGGATTAAAGATAAATCTGAGCTTATTTTTTCTCAATTGACATATCTGCGAGAAGGTGTCCTTTATTAAATTAAAACGATATAGAATAAAATTGTTTGAAGAATTTAACAACACCGAATTGAATCAGGAAAATGTGAACGAGAATCGCACGAAGCTTGCTCGGAAAATGAGTGGAAGATCACGAATGATCGAAAGATCACTTGGACTTACGAAATCTGCGAACGAACCCTTCCGTTCACAGGCTCATATTTTCTTCAATTTCATATTTAGCATGATTTTGAATTCCTACATTTTTGCATTGAAGGGTAGGTACTCTAAACTTGTATTTTCCGAATATCATACATTAAACGTTGAATCTTGAAATGAGAAACTGTAAACCTTGAATATACTCTTCTTATAGATTATTCAATTTTGTATTTAAATGATCTGACAATTAAATCTGTAAACAATTTTTGTTTAAGTCGATAGTACTTAAAAAAGAAAAAAAATACATGACAAAATACATTTTATCTTTCATTTGAAAATGGTATTTTAATCGAAAAATTCCACGAATGCTTTTAACAGAAAACATATTGCCTGAAATAAATATAAATGCAAAACAATTGCACTAGAATTTTAATGAGTTTTGTCTACAAATTTAATTATCAGGTCATGATTATTCTCCTTATGACTTATTGAGAGCGTTTGTATATACGTTGCTTTATGGAAAGCAAGGATTATGGAATTCTCGAATCGAAGAATCATTTTGCGGCGAACGAGAAAAAGAATGCTGAGGGAAGAACAGGAAGCTCGCGTGAACAAAGAAAGCGAAGCAAATTAGAAAGACGATGGCGGAGGAATAAAACCCTTGTATAAAGTAGCAGTGCGTAGCGGCTAATCTAATCGATAAAAGGAATGACACAAACGAGTTTATTGTTGAATATAATAATGTATTATGTAACATTAACAAAAGTAAAAAAAAAAGAAGAGCAGAAGACGGATGATGATAATATTATATTGTTGTTAGATATATATTATATATATTATATAAAAAAACCTAGGTATTAAGCGACCACCCAACCATTCACCCACACAAGTATACACTCTCGCAGGATATACAGGGTGTCTCGAAGAAAATGTATTCCAGTAGAGGAGACGCTTACTGCTCGAGTAAAATTTGCGTTCGTTTTTTTCTAGCGATGACTTCATCCGAAATATTTGTTGAAGATTAATAAAAAGCGAAAATAACCAAATGTATTTTATTCTCTTATCAGTTTTACTTCCCAACTAAAATCCTACTCGCTACTGCACAAACAGAAATTTTCTTTTCATTAGTTACAAAATTATAGATCAAAATAATTTATGGTTTTTATTTTATAATATTATTATTTTTGCAATATTCGCAGTTCTTTATAATACATTTATAATTGTGCTCAGATTTATATTGGCTTTTCTCTCTAATGAAAAATTTAATTTGTCAACGCGTGCACGTTAAATTTTATTCTTGAAGTCGCGATTTTTAAATATATATTAAAAATAATCTGAGAGAAAATTCAAGGTTCAAGTATGCTCAGCAGTACAAAATATTGATTTTATCAAAATTCAAATAATAGTGCGTTAATCAAATACATTAAATAATATTATTGAAAAATTATGATTTTGATAATGTTATCAAAATGCAATCGTGCATTTTTGCTGTGTTTGCTACGCACGCATTATCGATTTTGTTTATGCAATAAAATTCCAGTTTCGAAAGTTCTACTAAGCAATTTTCAGCGTGACACAATTTCTGAAATATCGACCGAAGTGTATGTAAAACCTCAGTACGCCTGAAAAAGTCTCTCAGATTGCTGCGTTGATTTTTTACGCGTATACTTATTAAACTTTTGCAAGCATGCATAAAAATTTTTTGCATTTCTTATAATATATTTTAATATATTTTTAATATATTTTTTGTTTTTTTCAATTTCTCTTATATTCTCATAATTAAATACGCGTTTATTCTTTTACTGTCCAACTATACTAAATTTTTTATCGTATTTGAAAGAAAATAGTTTTTAAAAATACGTTTGTAAAGCCTAAAAAATTCAAAAAATTTAAATTATCTCGTATTGATATATGGAATGAAATGTAAAGCGGGAATCAAATGTAAAAAAGAAAAGTAGGAAAAATGAAGTGTCATCGACCACAATATATTTCCTTGCTTCTGCAAGTAATTTTTTTCGTAAATTGTCTCGCGGAAAATCTGATACTTGATGTAAACTTCAAGAAACCAATCGCAGTAACCAGCGATGCATTTCTCAGTTTTACTCTGGATCCAGTAACATTGCTAAAGAGCACCGATGTTTTCACGTAAGTATTAAAAAAAGGAAAAGAAAAATTATGCATGTATATATACACAACATTGACAAAGCTAACTGAAGAATTTTAATTAAAGATCTTGATTTTATAGAATATTTAAATTTATTAGAACCTTCATCGTTAATATTATAGATAGTATCTGTTATAGCTTATCTGACTTTTACTCTCAATCCTTTAATTCAATTGTAATCATCAAGCCTGAGTTTTTATTACAATCGTTTTTCTTTCAAAGTTAAAAAGTGTCCTCTTATTCCAGGATACTTCGTATTCGTAAGATAAAAATATATTATCACGACTTGTTTTAATTGTTTAGCACAAACATCGAGAGAACCACAAATATGGCACAAGCTTTGGCACCCGCTTATGTTCGCCTCGGAGGACCACAAAGTAACTCCCTTTTTGAGCAAGCGTACATGCATGATGAAACTGACACATCTTTCGGTAAAGTACTGTATTAATATTTCATAAACGTCAAATAGAACTTAGAAACATTTAACAAGCGGAAAAGTGATGTCTATTCACAAGTAGATTGTGAAAAAAAATTTAGTCTCACTCAATATTAGATTAGATAGAATATTAGAAAGTAAAATATTCATTTGTTTCTCTATTTTTGCGTTTCGGTAAGCTTATTATATATTTATTTTCGAATTTCCCGACCGCGCGTGACGGTTCTGACCGCCGTAAATGCGCTAGAAGGACAGCGAGAGGATGATGTCAATGGATGAGGACGATGGCGCGATGATGTAACACTAATGTCATTAATTCATTTTGTTGCGGTTGTCAGCAGTTATATGCGCGTCCATTAGCCTTGATGGCAAGGGCGCCCGGCGAGTGTGATAATGCAACGTCGACAAGCCCTGAGATAATAGCATGGTCGCGAGTTGCGAAAGTGCCAAAATTCGCCGGCGTAATGTTTTAATTATTGCACTTGCCGACAGAGCAAATTAGCTGATATTTATTCACATCGGAAAAGTGATATGTACACATACGGAATGCTTGAAGAGTTGTGCATTTTATTACAAATATAAATAATACGCGTTCAATGTTCTGTGAATAAATAATTATTCACAAATACTATAACAAATGCAAAAATTTTTCCCGATAATTTGCATGTTAATAATTAACCATTTTATTTTATAATCAAATATAAACGTATACATTGATTATTAAGCGTGTTTGTTAATCGCATTTCATCACGTATCACTTTATGCTTAATTAGGAGCCTTTGAAGCAATTCATTTAAATCGCATTTAACTTATTGAAAAGTTTTCTGCTTTAACTCGCAATCACGATGTTCACGAATATATTTTGTAAGCTTGTAGGTTTCAAAAAATTTTTAATAAGAATAATAATAACTTTGCAGGATGCTCTCTCTAAAACCATATGGAAGGGGGGGGGGGTTAAGCCGTAGTGGCGTCAAGTTTTTTTTAAAGATTGACTGAGTGCATAGATGTAATCTATACAAGATATAAATTATATCTATGCACTCAGTCAATTTAAAAAAAAAAAACTGAACGTACACTATGGCTTTCACTTCCTCAAATAAAGCTACCAGTATTTTGTATTCAAACGATTTGAATTTTTCAGAACATTCGAATTTTACGCGCTTGAATCTAACAGGACGTTGCATTTTTACGCGTTGAATATTTTACTGAACGTTTGAATTTTACAGGAATACCAACGTATCAGTGGAGACTCATACAATGGGCACAGAGCATCGGATTAGATGTAATCACATGTGTTGCGCCTCGCTACATCGAATCAAAAATACATTCTGAGGATGCGTCGAGTATAGCCGAGTTACTTTCCTTCAGCGATGAAATGGGTTATAACATCAACTGGCAATTGGGTTACGGTAAGACTTTCCAAAACTCTGTACTTTTCAGACATAACAACTAGGATTAAAATAGAGTTTAGCGACCAAAAATTTCTAATTTTTAGAAAATAATTAACTGTTTAACGCATTTTTAAGTTGTTTTAAAAGACTATCTACAAAATATTAATGTTTCTCAAAGATCTGATTTCAAGTTATTCTAAAATATTTTCCCGTAGAATGCCAAACAAGATGTGACTTATCCGGCGAAGAACTGGGACAATACGTTGCAAAATTACGCGAAATACTGAAGACTATCCCGAGATATTACGATAGTTTAATCACGGGCCCAGACATTGTGGCGTATAAAACAACGCAACAACAAAAATATCTTCGAGATTATTTAAATTCAGCGGATTCTGCGCTTTCAGCAATCACGTGGCATCCGTAAGTGTTTTAATTTTGATGTAGGTAATGATTAAATTAGATTATTATTTATGCAAAAATTTCATTAAGCTGATACGAAATATTCATTAGTTCTTATATAGAGCTATGTTAAAATAAATATATAATAAAAGTATATAACTAAAATCTTTTGTGTGTGGTAATAATTTCAGCGACTTTGCCAGCGTTTCTTTAAATAATGACAGCATTTTCATCGATTATGACACCCTAGTTGCCGAAAAGGATGAAATGTACAAAATCATCAGTAACATAGCAGGAAAAAAACCATTATGGATTGGTAAAAACGTTATAAAATTACAAATTATAAATAATGATGTTTTAAAGAGATTACATATTTATGTATATTCGTATTGTTCTTAAATTTAATATTGTTTTATTTTGTGTGTAATATCTTTTACAACTATTTACGATATTTATGATTGTACATTTTGTTATAATAGCGGAGTCAAAACCGGAAGAAACTAAGCATCAATATTTAGGAGCGCTCATGTGGGCGTGGAGACTTGGAAATGCTGCGAAGCTTGGCGTACAAGTTATGATGAGGCAACTAACAAACTTTAAAATAGCTCCCGTAAGTTGTGCAATATTATTAATACAAATAAATAAGATTGTATTTAAACTAAAAATTTTGACTGCAAACTTAATTGTCAAACATATTTATCATATATTATAAAAAACAATCGTAAGCATCTGTACTGAAAATATATATATGTATGCAAGATGTTTATTTCTAAAATGAGATAAAAAATAAGATTTATGTATATAAATCAAATGATAAGATACACTAATAGCAATCATTTTATTTATTAGGATTATTGGGTATCTTTATTGCATAAGACTTTAGTGAGCCCTCAAGTTTTGGAGACTAGATTTGAATCCAACAACGAGAATTATGTGCATTTTTACAGCCAATGCACAAAACCTTCCGCACTATACAAAAAAGGAGCTATCACGATTTTTGGTGTAAATCTGACACCAAGAGAAATAACAGCTAATCTAACAGATTTCAAAATCAAAACTCTTCACAAGTACATTTTATCTCCAGATTCTGAAACCGGCAAGAAAATGTTTTCAGAGTAAGTTTTTGAACACATAATAATGTGTAAAAAAATATTTTTATTGCCTATTTATTTTGCGATTATATTATACGAGAAAGAAAAGATGTCGTGTTATAAAGCGTTTTTTGAAATTTGATATATTAATACAAAGTAGATACATTCAATACATTCTTTGATATAAATTACAGACAGATAAATTTGTATTTAAATTTTGAAAAATATTACTTTTTCAGAAAAGTCTTGTTAAATAACAAGCCACTGAATTTGATAAACGACGAAGAGCTGCCTGACCTGAATCCGGATGTCATCATTGATTCTGACGGCTTAAAACTAGAGCTTTCGTCTGGGGAAATAGGTTTCTGGGTTATACCCGATGCTAAGGTAAATTAAAAAATTAAGGAAAATTAAAATATTTTATTTGTCAAATTTTACAATATACCAATAACCGAAATAAATTAATAAACAGGTGAAAGCTTGCATTTATCCAGAAGAGGAAACAGCTGAGAACGTTAGAAATTTATCAAAACGATATAGTAGTATTATCTACCAAGATAATCAAGAAGAAAATGATAAAAACACAAATAAACCTAATTTAAAAACTCGAAAGATGTACACAAGACTGGAAAGAAGAAAACAAAAAAACGCGGACAAGAAAGAAGCTGAAAATGAACAGAAAATGTTAAATACCAAATTTTTAGAAAAAATAAAAAAATTTATACAAAGAAAGCTGTACAAAAAAGTACAGAAAGATGATTCTTCAAACCGACAAAAATCAATGACAATTGTTTTCGATGAAACACAAGGAAGTTCATCCGAAGAGACAGAAAAACAGCAAAATGTGGGCAACAGAAATTTGAAGGAAACCGAAGTTGATGATTTTTTGAAAAAGCTTGAGGACATCCGAGATACATTAAGAAAGTATGAACATATTTTAATGGAGAAGAAGAATCTACTGAAATCAGAACATGTCGAAGATTTCGAGTCCGAAATACAAAGCATCGACAATATTGTGATCCTAATATCGAAGATCGACACCTTGCTCCAATTTGATGAAGAAAAAGTTATTTTAAATGAATTTGATGCAAGAAAAATCATTCACAAAGAAGTATTGATAAAACGAGGAAATAAAAAATTTAAAAAACTCTTAAACGAATTAGAAAATTCTAAAACAAAAAAATCGGAAATCGTAATTGAGAAAGTAGAAAAATTCTTCGATATATTTTATAATTTATTAAAAGACGACGAATTAAATAAAAATGATGAAAATAATAGAAATAATGAGATTCTTGTATTCGAGGAAGAAAGCAGATTCAAAAGAGACTTAAATGGGAAATCGGAAGATTCTGGAAAAATCAAAATACTTGGAAAGCACTCGCGAATAGACGATTTAAAAAATCATATGGTCAAGCGAAAGAAAAACGACGATAGAAAAGAAGTAATTACGTCTGATAATCCTGATAATCCAATAAGGAATTTTAACAATGATAAGAGTAACTTTCATAATTTATTTTGGCGAAATCCTGTTAAAAAATTCTTTAAAAACGACGCTTTAGCTCCTCATTATACCAATTATCCACTTTCGTTGCAGAAGCATAAAAGAATAAAAAAAGACAATATCTGGAAGTTTTCAAAACTCGACGACGTACAGGATTATCAGAGTTCGACGGAGGAATTTGAAAGAGCGAAAAGAGACATGACCAAAAAGTTCGTCGAGATAGGTCTGAGGAAAGATAATATTTTCAGGAAACGTTCGCGAATCGACGATGTGAGGGATCACATAAACGAGAGAAAATTAAAGCGGAAGGATGATTTTAGAAAGGAAGGATTGCTGACTCCTTTCAATCCAAGGACCGACAGCGGCGAAAACAATTTCTACGGCTTCTTCCGGCAGGATCCGATCAGAGGGTTCCCTGAGAATGACGTTTTTGTCACCACGGGTGATTCGTCGGAGCAAAATGACAAAGATTACGACTATGTCGAAGATGAAGATGATAACAGTGCGAAAAAACAGAATACACAGCAGGAACAAATATCAACAGTGGAAGACACACGGATAGAAACCGGAGAAAGCGACTACGTGCCGAACGAATTTTTCGAAAGTGTCACGTTATCAAATCCAAGAACTCAAGGAAGCTTGAAAAATTGTGAAGATTTATGGGAAGCGGAATCTATCCTCGAATCCAACAATAACAAGGATAATAATGATAATAATAATAATGATAAAGAAACGACTATCCATGAAGTTCTTCAAGAACAGCCACCTGGCGAAGAAGAGGAAAAGCGAGTCAGAGAGGAGACCATGAAAAAGCTGGTTAACTATTACGAAGATTCCGAAGAGCAAGAAGACGATCAAGATAAGAGCTACAAAGCGCTTGCCTTCAAACAGTCTTCAACGCCTTTAGATCAAATTTTAAAAATGCAAACTTATCAAGCATCAAATATAAAATCCGATAAAACCGACTGCTTTTCTAAACCTTTTGCCGCGTATGTAGAATATTTTATGCCCGACAGAATGTTTCATAATAGAAGAGCTAAAAGAAGCAATTGGAATGAGCTTCAAAAAATCTTTGCTGAGGAAATGATTAAGGCAGATGAAGAAAACATGAAAAAATGCAATTGTAGAATCCGAGCCGCTGATTCGCGGAAGAAACCTTGCTATTGTCGCGTGAAGCGTGCTGCGCAATTCGCAGATTCTTCGGAAACTGAAAGTGTAAATGCGGACATCGCGCAATTCGAGAGAAATGTTCTAGATTCTCTGACGAAAGAGGAATATGACACAATTATGACGGGAGAGATACTTCCAAATACAAGAGTTGCTGACTATGATATAACTAAGGAAATCGCAACCGCGGAACCAAGTAAATTGGAGCGCGAACCGAGCGATGTAACGGAAACGATTGACGTTGCTGCAACATCAACGATGGACAATTCGGGAACAAATAATATTTTTGAGCAATATGATAATACGGAGGAATCCACCACATTGCCTGTGAACTCAGTTTCAGAATTAGCCGTAAAAAAGGATGACACAATTACAAGAGAAATGTTTTTTCGTGCCCAACCAACAAACATTCGATCGGAAACTGAGACAGCGACGTATGATTCTCCCAAGATTGTTTCTGAGATTTCTTCGGAGAATAAGAGCAATCAGGAAAAATTTATTGTCTCCGTTACGGAGGACGCCCAGGAAGCAATCCGCGAGAAGACGCAAGGTCTCGTCAACAAAAATGGAGAGACCGACAGCTCGACCGACATATATTCAGCAACCACCGAAAATCAAAAAAAGGAAAAACGACACGATAATAACGATAAAACTAGTTTCCTAAAATCCACTAATCTCCTTGAGGAAGCAACGGAAAAAATTGTCGAAGAGCAAATGACGACGGCAACGATGGTGTCGAAACGAGCGGTGGATAAATCAACTAACTCGAAATCGAAAGAGCCAAAAACAAGACTAAAGTTACAACAAAACACAGAAAACGATGAGGAATGCGAATCGCAATTGAAAAAGCATGTCGAAACAAAGAGGTTGAAAAACGCATTGAAAAGCCTTCCTAAAGTGCCGTTGAAAGAACTCACGAAATACGAAGAAAACTTAACAAAACGCGCCGGTCAGATCGGCAAACTGAAAAAAAGACTAAACACGAGACGGAAGCATTTATTGCATCAATATCGCGATGAATTGGCAAAGATCGCGAACGAGGAAACGCGGAACTTGAGAAGGAGAGAAACGTGGGAGAAATTTCGCGAGCACGATGATTTTTCACTGATTGATCAAGATGATTTAATTAGAGTTTTAATGAATGAGGAAGATACTTGCGAAGATGACGATGAGGAAGACGCAATTCCTGTTTATCTTTCTCCTAAACAATACAACAATCTTCTAGACCGAATACATACACTTGCAAAAATGAAGAAAGTAAATAGTCCGGAGCAAAGCAAATACTATAAATTTCTTCGATATCTAATCGAAGATAATGAAGAAGTAGAAGAAACGCCCAGATCAGATACGGCTCACAAGTTTCACGAATGTTCTCCGAAAGTAATCGAGGATGAACAGGAATCGGAGGAGGATAAAGAAATCCTCGAATATTTTGATCGCAGAATCTTCACAATCGATCCCTCAACGTATCACGGCGGCGAACCGACTTTACAACTGCATGAGGACTTGGAAATTCCAAAATACCGTACAAAGGTCAAATCCCAAATTCAAAATCCAATTTCGAGATGGATGCTAGGAAACAATTATCAAGCTTTTTCGAAATTAAATACTGACGGAAATCGGCATAAAACTTCTAAAGTACAAGATTATGTAAAGAAATCATTGGTCAAGGATTGCCAAGATCAAGAAAATACTAACGTATTATATATTCTAAACACGCAAAGGCAAAATGACTTACCGAAGGATTTCACGGGACTTACACGAGTCTGGCTGCAACCTTCTGATCGGCAGGATGTCAATCAACTTACAAACAATAAATCAACAAGTAAATTTAACAATATTTATAAAAAACTTGAGGATGAAACAACAACCGATTCCGATTGTGAAAAAGAAGACTTAACACATTCTGAAACAACTAACAATGCTAAAACAGTTGTGAGGGCTAAAAAATCTGAAACCATTAAATTGGCAAAAGATGTAGAAACTAAACAAAACGTAGAAGATGATATCTTAGTAACTGAAAATATCGAAGATGCTGGAAAAATGACAAATGTTGAAAATATAAATATTAAAATACAAAAGAATAAAGAAGAGACACACTTGAATAAAGAAGAAGGAAATATAATACAAAATAAAACAGCTGACAATATTGTAGAAAATAATAAATCTTACAATCCAAATAATAAAGTAAAAGATAATTTAAATGTTAGAACGGCTAATAAAAACATTAATAAAGCAGATGAAGATATTGAAAAAGTCATTGATAGCAATTCTAGAACAAGCAAACATGGAAAAGAAAATGTGCGGATTCGAAGAAATATTGAAAAAAATGTGGACGACAAACATCTGGAGCAACTGCTATATTTCTTGTAATGTATTTTATTTTATTCATTTATTTATTTAAATTTATTTATTAAATCAAATTAAATTAAAGTATCTTGTATTGTATATGTAATAAAAAATAATTGTAATTATAACACAATTAATCATTCAGAATTAAATTACTTTACAATATTTATTGGTTTGTTGATTATCGAATTCTTGCAATTTATAGATTTTATATAAAAAAAGATATAAATATTTTAAAAAATTTTTCAATCAAATCTATTTTTTCTGTAATATTAATTTGCAATATATTATTTCTTTTGTCTTTAGATTAACTAGAACAGATGCTAGAGACGGATCAGATTGTGATAGATATTACTCGAAGAAAGATTCTGAGGAAAAATTTAGCACGCAACCAATTCCGCTCCTTTTATTACCAAAAAATAAATTTCCATTGAACACCAACCTATTTCAGAAATCAAAAAACTACTTAGCTTCCTTACGGAGAAACTTCAATATGAATGAGAACGATGAGAAAAAATACAAGTCAAAATATATTTTTTTTACACCAACTAAGAATATGTATCCGTACGAAATGTTGAAAACGAAGAATTACGATAATTCTCTAGAACATTCCGAGGTTCCTGCAAGATGCCATAATCAGTATCCACTTACAACAAAAATAACAGATTCGATAAATCAATATCCGAGTGTTGAAGAATACTCAGAAAAATCTGAAGATTTTTCGGATTTTTTACATAAAGATACAGGAAGTATTTCAGATGAAGAGATTTATACATCAAAAAGTGAGCAAGATGCCTCAGCAAGCATCGAATATAATGAATCCGATTATGAATTAGAAAAGGAAGATGAAGAATATAGAGATATGAGCAAAGAAATTGATAAGAGTTTAGAAACGAAAAACCAAATACGATTTAATAATCGTGAAATGTTTTTTCTACTTCCCTGGAATCATGAGAGCAAAAGACATCGAAGGGATATTAATAAACGCACAGATCAAGTGAAACGCGAGGTAAATATTTTCCTAATGTAACAATAATTTATGTATTTTGTCTTTCGTCGATCTATAAAATAGATTTAATAAAAACCAACACAATAGAAATAACAATTATTTCTCGATAATTACTAAGTATATTTTTATACCATGATAATTAAACTAAAAAGAATGTCTTAGTAAAAATTATTTTAATTTGAAAAGCTATTTACTATTGTTTTACACCTTATTGATTTTATGTTAATATATACGTCTTTTTTTACGTTATTTCTGTGTATGTCATCTTATTTTATATAATACATTATTCTATTTTTTCAAGGTACAATCAGAATCAAACGAGAACGAAAATATTGAATATTTGAATGAAAATAATATTGATAAAGAAAAAGAGAAAACGACAGGAAAGAAAAATACAAAAGCAAATTATTTACAACCATTTTCTATGATAGATACAAAATATCATGATGAACTTCTTGAGCATTTTATAAAAATTCATAAAAAGAATGACTTATATACTAATAAAATTTCTTCAACAAAATACGAAGAAACAGATAAAAATTTAGAAAATAATATCTTGAAAAAGTTACCAATTCTCGTGGAAGAAACAATTCCAAAGTTGCAAAATGTAATTATCGACGGCTTGGAAGAGGCCCAAAATCTTACAGAATCCGTGGAACAATTGGTCAATAATTTAAAGGAGTCCAACAAAACTTTGGAATCGGATGAAGACAAATATTCGAGAAATCAAATTTCAGAAACTACCAGCAATGCTTTTAAAATTGCCATTATAAACGTAAAAAAATTTTTCGACGGAATTTCCCGAATTTTTATATAAATTAAAACATTATAATTTTATATATTGCAATAGCTCGTATTTTTAATATGTGTGAATATGTATTTTTAATATACAATATACATAAATATTTTTTGTTCAAGCTATCTAAAGCATTATATACATTTACATATAATAATACGTTATTTTATTTGTTATTATATTTATGATTATATATTATTTATATATTTATAATTATTAAATTAGACTAGATTACAAATTAATTTCTAATCTGTAAACGATTATATTATTTGCAATCTGTAGCGTAATTTGTAGATAATTATATTATTTTATTGTATGCACAAATAATAAAACTTGTGCTGTCAACAGATTTGATATATGTTTACTTGCGGTATGATTATTTGTATTTATATTTGTGTGTCTGTGTAAATTTCGACACATGCTAATTTACTCTCTTGCAAACATGTGTTCTTCATAATAATTAAATAAAAAAAGTGGAATAATAAAAATTAAGAATATATTAAAAAATTATAATTAAAATTATTCTTAATAATCAATAGATAAATTTAAAAAAATTAATTTTCTTATATTTTAAAACTTTTGCAAATTGGTTTAAAAATATTATTTGCTATTTAGTAAATTAATTATACTAAAGATTTATTTGAATAAAATTATTATAAGCAAATTTAAATACATCTTAGCAATAATATCACAATTGCAGTTGTTATTATGTATATTTATATAGAATCGCGAGGAACATAATAATCGCAAGCAGTTCTTAAAAACCTTACGTCACAAATGATTAAATCGACAATTGATCACATAACATATATGTCCATTACGACATAACCAACGAGCTCAATTTCATAACAATATGATGACGGGACAAACATCGAATGATTAAATTACCTAATTAATCAGTGTACATTCGATTCTCATCGAGTTTAGTTCATCTTTGAAGACGACAGAGTAATACAGATTTACACTATATATTGTAAATATATATTTATAATAATTTATATATCTTTTTCATTTAAGTTTACTGTGTAAATTATACTATAACTATTGTTTTTAGTACACAGTAATGAACAGAAAAATTGTGTCTGTTGTGGCTAAAATCGAAGAGTACGATAACATCCATTAATCAGCAATAATGAATATGACTGACATATATAAGAAGAGTATTTTGATCGCTTTGGTGTTACTTGTGACTGTCCGTCCGGAGGAAATTTCTACTACCAGAAACACAGAGAATACCGATTTATTGAATATCAGGTAATAAATACTTTTTATTTATTAATCGATTAAACTATAAAATTAAAAAAATCTTTATTTTACTAATTGCTAAAAATTACAAATAGAAAATCATAAATACTTAAAAAAAGTTCTGTATTTATCAAAGCTTTTATTATAATAATTTTTTTTTCAAATCAATCTAGAAATAATTATCATTATTAAAGCTCTTTTTGGACTTTGTTGGAAATAGCCATATTCGAACGAAATGAATACCAAAAAGTGTGTTATTTGTTACACAATTATTTGCGTGTCAGCATAATCGTTAATGTCATTCGTATATACGTCATGTTATGTTTCGTATATACGTCACAATAAACTGCTGAACTAACAATAAGAACTTTCTAAATCTAAAGTAGCCCGAAAAAAATGCATGCATATAAATTACCCAAATAAATAAACATAAATTGATTTAATCAATTTGTACTTAATTAAATAATTGTGTAGCCTAATTGTCAAATCACATATAAAATGTAGGTATATGTAATGTATTAATTAAACTAATAATTGCTTTCTGATCGAGTATTTCGTTATTTGTAGATTATCAACAAATCTTCCTCATTTATCATTGTACAATGATGAACATTTTACGAAAGACAATCCACAAAGATCACTGCCTTTATTAATGCCACTATCACGAGATAAATATGAAAAGCCAAAAGAAGCAAGCCGCAAGACAAAACGTTGCAATTCGTTTCGAAAAGACAGATTCCTTTCATCGACAAAGGAAAATCTCACCAAAGCGAGAGCCAAAAATCTAGATAAAAATAATGTAGAAATCTCAAAGCAAAATTCAAACACTCATTCTTTTAGAAACGCAAACTACTTACAGAAAAACTTTATAACATCAGACAGGGAAAGACATAAGGATGAATTTCTACGAGGCTTCAAGGACAACGCAGAGGATAAAACAATAAATTCAGAACCTAAAGAAACGACAAAGAAGCGCAATGCGGAAAAATGTATTTGTTACTGCAAAGAGAAGAATTGTTTTCCCGAATCGTCAAAGAAAAGCTCATCACAAATGCTAGGTTCCTCCGGAAAAAATAAGCCTGAGAGAATAAATAATCGGAGACGAGAAAAATATAGAAATGCAAGACCAGATATCTCACAACAAAAATCGTTGAGATTTTTCGAAAGGCCTCATGAAACGCGTATTCCTGACCCAATAAACTTTTACCCAATACGATCTTATCAAGAGAGAGTGATACCGCATGTACCAGTTCTGTACGGAATCGAGGCAAAACCATATGTTTTGTCCCACATGGCCGGAAACGACAGAAAACTTGTTAACAAAGTCCCATTTATTTCGTCCCATGACAGACCAAATTTTTTAGTTGGAAGTAACGCTTACGATCAATATCAACCTATCATGTATCGAAATCCCTACTTTATAAGTGAAAAAAATCAAATTGCAGATCCTGTCATGTCAGCTACTTTGCCTTCGAGCTCTGTTGATGCAGCAACTGTTGTGGAAACAGAAAGTGATCCAGAATTATACGATTCGATTGAAATCGCTGAAAAAGATCAAGAACCTTTGTATGATTATGTAGACATGTCAATGGAAAACACTGAAACTAATTTTTATCCAGATTACTCCATCGATGTAACTACAGAAAGCAACATTGTGAGTTTTCCTAATTTGGATGAGATGGTGCACAAACCAAAAGATTCTACAGAAATCGAAAGAAATCAGGACGATAATCCCTCCACAACATCGTCCTTGACAGATTACATTGACACAATCAGCATACCAATCACTTATCCATCAATTACAGACGATAAAAAATTTATAAATATGGAAGAGTGCATAAAACTATTCGGTCGTGACGTATGCGTACTCAGTACATCATCCATCAATGGAATCGAGAAGTCAAACGCTAACTCAAAGGACAATTTCGAATCAGCAAACATAGAATCAAATGCTAATGTTAACGAAGGCGAACGAATCTATGAGTCAGATGATGACGATGATCGAAGTACATCACTTAGCAGCGAAAATACATATATTCCGATAAAAAAATTGATGGATCAGGAAATTCTAGAGTTCACGGAGACTCCAAGAAATAGATTGTTGGGAAAAAGTAAAAGTCATCAATTACTGTTAACTCTAAATGATGAGAATACGGCAAATCCAATCTCAGAAGAGAAATTTCCCTATTCTACCATTCCATCCGAATTTAACAGTGAAGGAGAAGTCTACAATTTAAAAATCGATCAGCAAAATTTAGTAACAACTACAAATACCAATTTATGGCAGAATATTTTGAATAAAGAAGAGTCTCTTGAAGTAAAAATTCTTCAAGAACGACTTCAAGAAGAGAGTGCAACTATTAGTCATGATTCTAAAATTGAATCTAATTTTGAAGAAGAAAATACAAGTGGCTCAAATGAATCAAACGACAATGCCTATCTTGAGCAAACAATTCTTCAAGAACAACCTACAGAAAAAATTATAATTGTTGATCCTAATTTAGAAACCAAATATGATTTTGAAGAAACTAAAAATGATTTCGTCAAATCGCAAACCAATATTTATCCTGAAGAAGAGATTCTTCAAGAACCATCCACGACATTGCAATATTTTGATTATGAAAATTCAAATTTAAACAACGAAGAAGCTACTACGGACAGCCTCGACTCGTCAGCAAAAAAATTACCATTCTGTGACAATTCTTTACTTTTAAATACCATTAAAAAAGTAATCAATGATTTTGCGTTGAATGCTCCCTTAGGCAAGGCAAAAAAACTCGACAAAAATATTCTTCAAACGCAAGGTAAAAGTTTACTGCCAGAAATCCTGCAAGTGTCGAATCTGAAAAATATTCTGTCAATACCGCGAATAGAAAACACAATCGTTGAGAAGGTAAAAAACATTTTATCTGACATCACTGCTATTCCCAAAAGAGACTTTACGAATAATTGGTCTCACGATATTATCAGGAACACTATGCGAAATATATTAGAGAATTTTTCTGATTTTCATCAGAAGTTGCCACCGATGACAGTTGAGGAGCATCAATTCACAAATGGTCAGTGGACGGTCAATCCGGTAACTTTAGCATCCGTTCTAGACAGTAAGGTGTCAATGACAAATCCGCAAAATTTGCGGGAGTGCATCAGGGACCTTCTAAGCTCTCCGGTAATCGCATCGCAAATAGATCAACAAATAATACGAAACATAATTGTACAGAGTATAAAAAATAGTTTAATCAACGATGACGAAGAAGAAAAATTAGACAATTCAATAATTCACGATGCGCTAAATGATGTTCTTCAAGCTTTAAAAAATTTGAAAGATACAGATGAAAGTGGTAAATTTGTTAATAATGAAGATATGACTTCTTCACAAGAAACGTCAACAGATGATAGTGAAATAGGAATAAATGGTATCGACTCCATATTAAAAAACCAACAGAATCTTGATATAAATAAAGATAAGAAAGTAGATAATAAGGAAATGCAGACGACAACTTATCAGGAAACTAAGGCATTAGGAAACAATTCTAATCAGTTATTTGCCTTTACACCTTTAGATTTGTTAAAGTCAAGTGAAGAGGACAAAAATATATATATTGAAGAAAAAACACCAAATAGAATAATAGATAAAATAAAAGAACATATAAGGGATCAAATTTCAAATGGAATAAAAAAATTAAATATGCAAAATGACGAAGGAATAAAACTAGTTGAACCACTGAAAACTAAAACAGCTTATCAAAAAGCTATTTCACTAAATAATCCTCGCATATTAGCAATTTCTGTAGAACCGGATTTAGCTGAAGAATTAAATAAAAAAGAAAATAAAAAAAATATATTATTACAGACAGCTACAGTTTCGTCAATTACGCCTACAAATTTCCATGAAACAGAAGAATATATCGTTAACTCAACGCCGAGAAAGGACATTAATATGCAAAATGAAGAAGAAATTAAAAATTATCCTGACACGTGGAACCATCTAATAATTCATCACCAACCTAATTCTAATCTAAATTTTTCAATTTCAAATTCAAAAGAGGACTCTTCTAGGTACGACAAAATTGAACCACCAATAACACATGGAAGAAATAATAATAACAAATTGCCAGTAAATTCATATCCATCGAATGATCACATTGTTGACGAAAATGTCAAAGTTACAGCATCTACAGACTTTATGCACAAAACTTTACCCGATTACGCAAAAATGCCAGATGAAATAATTTCAAAAAATATAGCAGAAGCTAAAGATGTCAAAGATCGAATTGAACAAGAAATTAATGAAAAAACATTGACTACTTCGGCTAATAATTTAATTTCATTTATAAATGAAGAATACGGAAATCAAGAATCTAATACCGCTGCCACGGTTTCAGTTGATACGGTTCATCCACTAATAATATTAGAGAGGATTCGGAATAAAGAGCCGCCAATAAAATATTATTCGCCGGAAGGTCTGCAATACATAAGAACTGATCCCGCCAACGATGAAAATGTTAAAATTACAACATCCATAGACTTTATGCAAGGAGCTTCACCCGATTATGTACAAATATCGAATGGCGCAAATTTACAAAATGCGGCAGAAAATAAAAATATCGAAAGAGAAATGGAATACACATCAAATGGAAAAGCATCGCTTACTTCATCTGATAATATAATTTTACCTATAAATGCAGAATATGAAAATTGTAAATCCAAAATCGCTCCGTCAGCAGATAAAGATATTTTAGAATCGCAACAGCAAGATTTCGCGACAGATGATAATATTATTAAAATCCACGAAGTCACTACTGAGGTTCAACGGACTTATACAAAAACTACATATTTCAAGCCTTCTACTGACGATAAATCAAGAATCACTTCGTCTTCATTAGAGTATAAAATTACAAAAAGTGCAAATAATAATGATAGCATGAACAAGGATAGCAATCTAGTTGACAATTACAGCACCACTGCAGAGGGGAATGGATTAATTGCGTCCTCTTCATCAAACAATACTTATTTTCTCCAACTATTTCCTTCATCAATAATGTCCGATAATATCTCAGAACTTCAGAAATCTCAGCTTTACTACATTAACGATGGTGTGAAATTGCCGCTAGAAATAAAAAAATTACAGGACGATTCTTACGCGTTGTTAATCTCCAGGAATATATGCGAGCAAATTATGAAAAAAGAATGTCCCTGTTGTGTGCCGCTGCAAGGACATGTGATCCAAGAGTTGAGAAAAACTCATGATCAAGAAGATAAGGATATGACTGCGACGGAAAAACATTATCAAGAAAGTACACATATGAACGACCTTAAAAGAAATAATCAATTGGCTGACTCATCGCCTAGTGCAATAATAACGTCTATGACTACGAATAAAAATACTTTGACAATGCAGTCAGAAGAGGAAGACAAAAGTATAAATCGTTTTCAAAAGCGAAATTTGGATTATAATGATCTAACAACAATTTCAATGCCAGTTATTGAATTTGTAAAGAAATACAATCTGTTGCTCAATGAGGATAAAATGCTACTCGACGAAATTGAGTCAGATGACAAAAACAAAAATTGTGCCAATTTATTAATAAAATCAGCCAAGAGTGGTGAAACAAAGTCGCATAACTTTAGAGAAGGTAATTGCTATATAATCTTTAATAATAAAATAAAATATAAAAATAATGCAGATAAAATTTTGCTATATAATCTTTAATAATAAAATAAAATATAAAAATAATGCAGATAAAATTTTGTTTCAGAAAGGAAATCTATGCAAAGGATAGGTTCTACAAGTCAAGAAAAAAATCCTATTCCAAAAGGAGTTATAATTAACGGAGAAGAAATCGAAATGAAAAGCAAAAAAATGGATTGCGATAAATTAACAGATATTGACGAGGGTAATTACCATATAAATTGCTAATAAGTAACAAAATATTTAAAAAATTAAAAAATTACTCTTTTAGAAAACGTTCGAGTTTCGCACAACAAGAAAAAAAGAGAACACAAAGAAGCCGAATTTATTAACGATAAATATAATATTCCAGAAATTAAAATTTATGGTAAAAATAATGGAAGACCATACAGATATCAACGAAATACGAACAGCGTTACAAATCCAAGAGCAGAATTAGTAAAATCTGTACTTTATTGGATTAAAAGTCTTTTCGTCGACGAATAAAAGAATTTAATAATTAATAGTTTCTTAAATTTAAATTTTGTTTAAAATTAGTATTAAATTCCATAAATATTTTCAAAAGTTTGTTATTAAATTTTGTAAAAATTAT